TCTCGGGGGAGGGGAGGAAAGGGGTGTGGGGGATGCGGAAAGAGACTGGACAAGAATCCGATGGGGAAGGTGGGGGGGCGGAGTTAAGGGCAGAGGGTGGGGTGGGAACCAGGTATAGGAAAGCTATGGGGCGGGAGGGAGGAACAAGTGTAATAATCTGAACAATAAAGATTTAATTAAAAAATAAAGAAAATAAAAACACCAATTCACATAGATCAATGTACTCCACACTCCCCTGCCACTGTTTCCTACTGGTGCTTGAATTCTTGTCTCAGTTAGCTTTTGGGGGAACCCAAACTAAAATTGATCTATTCCCAGGTCTGGGGTGCCTGGGCCACAGGGCATGAACATCTTTATGGTTCTTTTCATGGTTCAATTTAAGCCAAACTCCTTCTCTTTCTGTTTTCATTTGCTGATCCCAAAAATCAGCATCTGGCGGCTCAGACAGCTGCTTCAGATCATTGGAAACACGTTCACACGTGTCCAGCCATGTCCTGCTTCCTTTCTTCATGTACACAGAGGCTGAAGAACTTTGGGAGTTGACATCATCAAGACAGATTCTGTGCCCAGGAGCCTGCAATTTATCAGAATGTAAAGAATGTGAAAATGGAATTTAGCCTGCAGATTGTGTTCCTTATCAAATGTCTCCAAGCACGTTCCACCAGCGGCACAAATTAAGCCTTTACCCAGAAGATACATTATCTCTGTGTGAGGCCTTCCACATAGTTTTCTAATGGAAGTCATTAGGAGCTTGGCTCCCATAGATAAGAGACCAATTCTGCCCATCCTGTGAGTCAGCAATGACATCGAGTCCTGCCTTGGGCTCTGTCTGGCAGGGATACTCCGGAGGGCTCGCAAGGGCTTCTGGGAAATCAAAGGGGGACAAGAGTCAGCCCCAGGGACCTGGGTGACAAATGTTCATTGAGTCCTACTATGTACCAGCCATAGGATAGATAGTTTAAGAGACATTATTTCTTCCCCTCAAAAAATTCACAGAATAAGACAACTCAAATGTCCATCAATGGATGAATGGATGAACAAAATGTGGTTTACTCATATGATAGGATATTATCCAGTCATAAAAAGGAATGAAGCACTGACACAGGCTACAAGATCGGATGAACTTCGAAGACACTGTGCTAAAGTGAAAGAAGTGGGTCACAAAAAGGTCATCATCATATTGTATGATGATGCTACGTATATGAAATGTCTGGAATAGGCAAATCCAGAGACAGAAAGTAGATGAGTGGTTCTCTGATGCTTGGGGAAGGAAGAAATGGGGTGAAAATGCTAATATATTTCCTTTTGGTGGGATGAAAATGTTCTAACACAACCTAAAATATACCAAATATTTTAGTATATTTAGAATATACTAAAAAACATCGACTTGCCTTAGCCAGGTGCTCAGTGGTTAGAGCATTATCCCATGGACTGAAGGGTCGAGGGTTCGATTCCAGTCAAGGGAACATAATTCTGTTGCAGGCTCAATCCTTGTGTATGTGGGAAGCAACCAATTGGTGTGACTCTCTCACATCAATGTTTCTCTCTGTCTCTCCCCATCCCCTCCACTCTCTCTAAAAAACAAAATCAATGGAAAAAATATCCTTAGGTGAGGATTAACAAAAAAACAAAAAATATAAAACATTGACTTGTAAAGTTTAAATGGGTGAATTGTATGGCATGTGAATTATATCTTAGTAAAGCTTTTATTGAAAAAAGAGAAAAACATTCAGAGAAGAGAAGCATATTATATGAAGCAAGTTCTACAAAGTTCACAAACGAAGTGAGATTTGAGTTGAATATTGAAGGTGATCAGGGAAGGACTAGGAAGAAAGTGACTCCTGGCCGAGGGGACAGCACAGGAGCACACAGTGTGAGGAAAGGTCTCCAGCAATTGACGAAGCTAGAAAGAGCTGTGACTTTGAGCTTGTGGAGGATGGGGTGGAGGATATTTTTCCATTGATTTTTAAGGAGAGTGGAAAAGAGAGAAAAGACAGAAACATCAATGTGAGAGAAATACATCAATTGGTTGCTTCCCACACGTGCCCCAACCACGGTCCAGGCCAGGGAGGAGCCTACAACTGAGGTATGTGCCCTTGACCGGAATCAAACCCTTGACTAGAATTGAAGCCGGGACCCTTTGGTCTGGAGGCCTACACTCTATCCACTGAGCCAAACCAGCTAGGACCATATATGTTTTTATGTAAATACATTCCAGTGGTTCTCAACCTTCTGGCCCTTTAAAACAGTTCCTCATGTTGTGACCCCCAACCATAAAATTATTTTCGTTGCTATTTCATAACTGTAATTTTTCTACTGTTATGAATCGTAATGTAAATATCTGATATGCAGGATGGTCTTAGGCGACCCCTGTGAAAGGGTCGTTCGACCGCCAAAGGGGTCACGACCCACAGATTGAGAACCGCTGCATTAGACCATCAACAATGTCTCATACTGTGCTTTTAATATTCCTAGAAGTGGAATTGCTACATTACAGCGCTTATGCTTTTTAATTTTATTTTCAGAGTTCAACTTTCTATTGAACGCGTTACAAAAGAAGTTTAGTCCAAAAGACCAAGGCCTGTGTCATCATCAGATTCCAAAGATTCTTCTTTCTTTGCCTCCACTTTTTCCTCAGCTGGGGCAGCAGTGGAGGGGGCAGGGCTTTCTATTGAACGCGTTACAAAAGAAGTTTAGTCAAAAAGACCAAGGCCTGTGTCATCATCAGACTCCAAAGATTAGTATTGTGCTATAATGAGCTCATGGAGCAGTCCTTGGCCAATTTCTGATTTGTATGGGTTCTTTGGAAGGAGATTTTAAGGGACTTTTTTTTTCTAGGGCCAAGTGCCAAGCATATTTCTATTAGATTTCCCCTCCCAGTGTTCAGCTTTTTATTGCACGTGTCACAAAAGAGTTTTGTGGGGATCTAACTGGAAGCCCAGAGATGGATAAGCTCAAGTCAATAGCAAAGTGCTATGCTTATATAGAAACATCCTCCAACCCCACATATTCTTCTTTCTTTGCCTCCACTTTCTTCTCCTCAGTTGGGGCAGCAGTGGAGGGGGCAGGGTCATTGGCTGGTACAGCACCAGCTACTGGGGCAGGTCTGCCAGCCCCTACATTCCAGATGAGGCTCTTGATGTTGACATTGGATAGGGTTTTGCAAACAAGCTGGACCAGAAGGGTTCAACTTTTATACCAGCTACTTTAATGAAGGCACTGATCTTATCCTCTGTGCCCATCACCTCATCGTTTTGCAGGATGAGGTCTGAGCTGGTGTGGGTGGGCGCTAGGTGAGTGCTGCCAGCCATGGTGCTAGTCGCTGGATGGAGTGAGGGCTCACCCCAACTCGGCCTTAGCTTCGCAGGAAGAACCCAGCATCTTACCAGCAGCTGGGGAGAGGGACTTAAATTTTGAGATATTGTAACACTGCTCACAATAAAGGTTGTACTAATTTACTCTTCCATTGGCAATGGGTAAAAGAGCCTGGGTTCCCCACCTTTTGGGGAATATGTTTGGAAATATTGTCAATTACCAGTTCATGGAGAGCCTTGTACACTAAGCAAAGAAGTTTGAACTTGATCCAAAGACCATGGACACCCACCGGAGGGTTTAAACACTGGATGAGGAAGAATAGGTTTCAAGTTTTTTGTTTTGTTTTGTTTTTAATTATTATTTTCTAAATATATTTTATTGATTTTTTACAGAGAGGAAGGGAGAGGGACAGAGAGCCAGAAACAATGATGTGAGAGAAACATAGATCAGCTGCCTCCTGCACAGCTTTTACTGGGGATGTGCCTGCAACCAAGGCACATGCTCCTAGCCAGAATCGAACCTGGGACCCTTTAGTCCACAGGCCGACGCTCCATCCACTGAGCCAAACCGGCCAGGGCAGGTTTGAAGTTTTTAAAGCTTATTTGCATGATAACATCAAATTAATGTCGTAGGAAATTTTTATTCTCTAACAGACAATGAGTGGTAATGTGATGAATCAGAGAGGGTGAGGGGGAATCTCCACTAGGATTTAAGCCATGCTGGAGAAAATGTGATTATCATTTAGGTACAGCAGCCGTTCTAGATAATAAGATTGGATATGAGTGCAATCTGGTTTTTTTTACAATCCCATAACTCCAACTTTCCTGCCATTTTTCTTTTATCACATCCTTCCCACATGCTGATGGCTTCTAATGAAGCATTTGGCCTTTAAGGCTGACGACATAAAACCAATAGCCAGGAATTTTTATCGGAAGCTAACAGTTGAGCAAACGACAAGAGGACAGGTGAGATAGCAGCTTTATCTTTCTCTAGAAGACCATTCTGCAAATTAATTGTATTTAGAACTGGCATTAAACGAAGAGCTGGGAGAAACAAAACAGCAGACACATTCATCCGGAGTCATTGTTTCTTAAACAGGAGGTGGTCGCTGTTATTTGATGCAAAGAGAAAAGGAAGATGGATGGCAGATGGCTGTGAAGGCAACAGCATACGAAGGACGGACAGCCAGCTCCATCCAGACTCTCCAGCTGGTTCAAGGATGAGCGCAGCAGGCTTGGTCCCCCTGGGGCTTGCTCTGAGGTTGATGGCCACTCCTGCTAAGCCAGAGGAAGGCAGCGTTTGCTCTAAGAACCAAGTGGCTTTCAGAGACTCTTGCTACGAATTTGTGCCTTTTGGCCGCTCTTTCTATGGTGCCCAGAACTGGTGTGAGGAGCGAGGAGGCCATTTGGTCTTTATTCACGACGAAGGCACCCAGCGGTTTCTGCAAAAGCACATCTCTCAGGACAGGGAATGGTGGATTGGACTCACAGGGAACTCGGCTCAGAATGGAACTGCAGAAGGTAGGTGCTGTGATAACTATGTTTTATGGGAGCTAGTGGCTGCAATTCTCCCATTGCTTTCTACCCAGAGCTCCATAAAACAAATTAACCCCTTCCCCAACAATTTTTTTGTTATAAACGTTTCTTTTTCAGACTAATTTTTTTTATTTTGGTTCTATGTAGTATTTTTGATGCTGGTTATGAAAACAGTTTGTAACTCGTCTTCCTATAAACCATATTTTTTTACCATATTTTCTTAGTATACTCGTCGACGACTGAAAAAGAACATTTTGTGAAAACGTGTATACACGTTTCTGCCAGGGAAGGGGTTAATATGCCCCATTCTCATGGTAAGCAAACCCTCCTCTTTGGTTGTTCTGTGGATAAAATAATTCATGCACAGTATTTAGCACAGTGTCCGGCACAGAGCTGACACCAGAAATGTGCGTTGCTTTGTATATGCCTCATATTCATAATATCTATGAGTTCTTTGGTTCTTGTTAGAATAGTGTCCAGCACTATCCTGAGTGCGTCATGTCCATTATCATGTTGAATCCTCACAATAACTGATAATATAATTATTATTGCTGTCTTTATTTTACAGGTGAGAAAACTGAGCCTTGGGAAATAATTACTAAGCTATTTTCAAAGCATTTCCACATGTCTTCCTCCCTACGAGACTGAAGCAGCTCAAGTGCGTAGCGTGGTTCAGTTCACATGGGATAGTCTCGTGTTAATGGTTCTCCCAGGAACTCTCACTTAGCCTTTCTCTGGGAGGGCTCCTTCCTCCAATCCCAGCACAACCAGTTGAGCCCTTCTCTATGTACCTGTAGGACCCTTTCGACATGACTTTAGTTATTTAGGTGTCTTTCCCCATAGACAATAAGCTCTTTAAGGGAAGGAACCATATTCTGGCCAATCCCTCCCACCCTCAGTGTCCATACATATCCAAGAATGGACACATAGACCTTTGTATTCAATCCTTACACCGGCCCCATGAGGCAGGCTTTGCTACTCTTTTTTTATGGGTGAGGAAAATGAAGTCCAGAGAGAGGAACTGCCTTGCTCAAGAAAACACATCTAGGGAAGGGCAGTGAGGTCTTGAGCCAGTGTCCCGCCATCTCAAACTGCTCTGTGGAACATACTGGGTTTTAGAAAATAAAAACTTGGTCTGTGCTAAATACCTAGAGAAATATACCAGAGTGGATGGAAATGCTTTAATAAAGGGGCAGATGGGAAGCTCATTTGAGGAAGCTCACAGCCAAAGGGATGCAATTTCTACAATGTGTCTTCAGCCAATATCTCTTCAATGGTTTTTTGCTTTGTAGATGCAGCAATTTGTGGATTTCCTTTCGTATGCATTTAAAGGAGTCGGGTCTATTTAAAATATTCAGGGGATACTGCATGGCTTTATAGAAAATGAAGTAGATCTGAGTAGGCTGATATGTAACAGCTTTCAATAAGTAATGTTATTTGAAAGGCAAGAAACGGTGCTGTGAGCAATATGATGGCATTTGTGTAAATAGATTCAGGTACTCACAGGTGCTGCTACATAGATAAAAAGCAACATGGAACAACACGCAAGAAACAACAATAATGGGAGTGGTCCATAGGTTGGGAAAGGGAAGATGCTTTCATTTCATTCTCTTTTTACTCTTTAAAAAATTATAAACCATCTGTATGGATTTCTTTTCTTTAAAAAATTAATAAATAGCCCAACCAGCATAGCTCAGTGGTTGAGCACTGGCCTATGAACTGGTTCGATTTTTGGGTAAGGGCACATGTCCAGGTTGTAGACTCAATCCCCAGTAGGGGGTGTGCAGAAGGCAGCTGATCAATGATTCTCTCTCATCTCTCTCTCCCTCCCTCCCTCCCTCCCTTCCTCTCTGAAATAAAAAAAATATACATATTTTTAAAAATTAAATACATTTTTGATTCTTTACAGCAAATATTTTCTATCTAGTGTTTTCTAGATCTCTAGTGTCCTTGAAATGCCTCTGTATCTCCCTCCCTCCCTCTGTCTCTCTCTGTCGCACGGGCTCTCTCTCTCTCTCTCTCTCTCTCTCTCTCTCTCACACACACACACACACACACACACACACACGCAACATCCTTGGGTTCAAGGCTCTGAAGAGTCCTGAAGTAAGGAAAACTGTGTCTGCTGTAGCTCAGCAGTGCCCATTTCTATTTGTTAAGGGCCCCCTTTCTATGTGAAATACCTTTTAACTCCCCAGGGCACACACTGTGCTCTTCTTTAGGTTATAGCTGAAAGCATCATTTATTTAGTCAAGCCAACTTCTACAGGCTCTCCAACTTGGGTTCCCGGTGTTTAGGTCGAGTTCTTGTGTTTGAGTGTTGAAAGATAATGGGTAGGAAATGCTCCATTGCTTGCATGGGAGAGGCCTTCAGCACTGATTGAGCACCTACTGCTCACAAGGAGCTGAGCTGGGACAAGCCTTGTACATAAAAAGGGTCAGAAAAGTCCTGGTGGTTGTGTTCCCCTCCCAGGACCGGGGATCTGGCTGGACACCTCAAATGTGAACTATAGCCACTGGCACGGAAGGCAGGCCTCTCCTGCTCCCGACACCTGCGGCTACATCGGGAGAGACCCTTCTGCCAGGTGGGCTGCCTCAGACAACTGTGCACAGCTGTTCACCTTCATCTGCGAGTTTGGTGAGCCTTTGTTGTAGAGTCTACTTCCTTTGCCCCATCTCTTCCTGTCTTTGTTTCCTTGTTTTCCTGTGTCTCTCTACTTCTATCTCTGTCTCTCTAAGTGTTTCTCTAAATGCCCACTTGTCTCTGTGTGATGCTCCATGTCTCTCTGTTTCTATCTCTGTTTCTCTCTAAATGCCCACATGCCTCTGTCTATGTGCTCAGTCTCTCTGTGTGTCCCTCCATCTACCTAGCTCACATCCTTGCTCTCCCTGCCCATTTACCTGCCTATTAGTCTTGCTTGTCTCTCTCTGTCTTTCATCCTCATATATCTGCATCTAGGGGGAAATGCCCACTCACCCTTAACTCCTGCTCCCTGGCCAGCCTGAGTCTGAGCCCCCCATGCCCACATCCCACCAGCTCCCAACTGTTCTTCTCTTGTGCCCTTTCTAGCTGCTACCCATGCCCGACTCCCAATGTAGATGCTGGGGACTGTGTATAAGAGACCCTGCCGGAGTGGGATGTAGCCGCATACCAGGTCCTACCCACCAGGTGGGGACCGGGATTGGGGCCTGGCCTTAGAGCTGAGCCTCCTGGTCCCCTGACCCACAAGCCAGGCTTAATGGAACCTTCTGGGCTTTCTGGGTCCAGTCCCCTCTGGCTCTAAGCTCCTGGTTCCCAGGCCCTGTCCTGGGTTGAACATTCACAGGAGCTCCTGCTCCATTCTTCTCCTCCCCTAGCTTTAAATAGATGCACTTTGCCCGCCTGACTACTTCTGAAAAGGTGGAAGCGCCTGTGAAGCCCTCCCTGGTCTGTGCATTACGCAACTTCCCTCTTTCTATCACAGCCTACCCAAGTCCCTGTCCCCTCTGCCACCCCAACTTCAAGCCTGTCTCTCAGACTCTGTCAGCCCCAGGGTCTTGGAGCCGAGGCATGAGGTCACACTATGAAGAACTAATGAGTATCGAGCAAAAGTTCCAGCACTGAGCCAGACACTCCATGTACATTAATTCACCATAATAGAAGTCTGTCCACCATTCTACTGTAGGCCTATTAGAAAGCTAAAAAAGTGAGACTCAGAAAGGGTAAGTTCCTTGTCCAAGGCCAGAGAGCTGGGAAGTGACAGAGATGAGACCTAAAGCAGTGTTGCCTATGGAGAGAGAAAGAGAGAGAGAAAGAGAGGGAGAGGGAGAGGGAGAGGGAGAGGGAGAGGGAGAGCACAATGAGTATCACTTCACACACACGAGGGTGACTAGAAAAAAAGGTAATAACAAGCGTTGACAAAGAGGAGGAGATATTGAAACTTTTTAAAAATGCTCATCCGAAGATATGTTTATTCATTTGAGGGAGAGGGAGAGGGAGAGGGGGAGAGAGAGGGAGAGGGAGAGAGAGAGAAAGAGAGAGAGAGAGAGAGAGAGAGAGAGACTGGCTTTGGAGATGGAAGAGGGGGCCACAATCCAAGGAATGCTGACAGCCTGTATAAGCTGGACAAGGCAGGAAACAGATTCTCCTCTAGAGCCTTCAGAAAGAACCTTGATATCAGTGCAGTGTTACCCATTTGTGGACTTCTGACCTTCATAACTATAATATTATAAATTTGTGACAATTTGTTACAGCAGCCATAAGAAAATGAACTCAGATTTGGTCTCTCCTACTCTGTGGACTTCCCACCAGGCAAACAGGCCTGAGTGTGAATTCAGCATTTCCCACTTTCTGGCTGTGCACACCTGAGCCAGGTCATTCTTTTGCAACAAATGTTTACTGAGCAGGTGCCAGGAAGCAGGGTTGGTGTGGGGCTCTTGGCACAGTGACCCCACTGAGCCCCATGTTCCTAATGGGGAGAATAATAGCTCAGCTCATAGGACTGGTATAAAGACTCATTGAAATCATTCATTCAACAAAAGCTTGTTTGGCATCTATCATGTACCGGACATTGTTTTCAAATAAGGCTCAAGGAAGGTACTTGAAATAGGTAGAATAGTAATTGCTACTTGAATAGCCCATATTCTGAGTGTACAAACTCATTTAATCCTCCTAATGACCATATGGAGTATGGGGTAGACCCCCCTATACAAAGGAGGAACAGAGAAGCTAAGTAATTTTCAGAGGACCCACAGCCACTGGGTGGCTAGGCTGGATCTGCCCTTGGGCAGTCTCGCTCCAGAGTTACTCTCACCCCTGCTGAGTCTGTTTCTGCCGTGTCCTTGCATCTCACAGTCCTGACCCCTGAGACTCTTCCACTTCCCATCAACCAGGCCAGTGGTCGGCAAACTCATTAGTCAACAGAGCCAAATATCAACAATACAATGATTGAAATTTTTTGAGAGCCAAATTTTTTAAATTTAAACTATATAGGTAGGTACATTGTTATTAATAATTAGGGTACTCCTAAGCTGGCCTTTGCTAAAAACGTCCTCAATCTGAGGGGTCGACCACAGCAAACGTACCCCCACTTCTTCTAACACCACTTCTTCAAAATAGACTCGCCCAGGCCGAAAACCGACTTCTGTGCATGGGCCACAAAGTTTCAATTGCACTGTATGTGCACGCCCACATGTGGTATTTTGTGGAAGAGCAACACTCAAGGGGCTAAAGAGCCGCATGTGGCTCGCGAGCCACAGTTTGCCAATCACTTAACCAGGCACTTGCCCACCCATGACCATAGGCCTCCTATGTATCACCTTACCTTTGTATAGGTGTCGGCCAGAGTCTGGCCTGTGAGGGCCATGATGCCACCATGCACTGTGGCTCCGGGGAGGTCATTCAGATCCGGGATGCTTTCTACAGGCGCCAGACTACCCATTATTGCACCCAGGACGCTGGGAGCCCCTTGGACCTGGAGGAGAAATGCAGCTGGGTCAGTGTCAAGGGCAAAGTGGCAGGTAGGGCCCAAGGGCTCCACAGCTCTGGCTGTGAGTTCAAGGCGGTTCCTGGTGTCCTGTGCCCAGCAACAGGTTCTGGAAGGCTCCACCAATCCTCACATATGACCTAGAGCCTCCAACATTGGGAAAACTAGCCAGTCTCCGCCACAGCACTGAGCTGGGAAGCAAGGGAGCTACAGCTCACCCCTTCACTTTTGCTCCCCACCCAACTTGGATGCAAGATACATCACTTTCTTTTTGTAAACTTAATTTTAAAAAATTTTAAATACTTGAAATACATAGACAAGAATAAAAAATACTTCAATGAACTTCCATAGGCCCACTACCCAACATTGCCAAATCATATTTGCTTAAAATTCCCTCATGAAGGAATCAAACACAGCATTGGATATACAGCTGACACTCCTGTGAAGCCCTCCCTAGTCTGCTCCTGTCATAAAGTCAGCGCTTGTTAATTGCATGGGTGGTTTTGTATTGCTGCCTTCTATGTATGCAACCCTAAGCAATATATAATATTGCTTTGCAGGTTTTTAGTGTTTATAAAAATTGTATCATATTGTATGTCACTCTGCAATGTGCTTTTTTTTCTCTTTTCCTTCTTTATTTTATTTTTTGCTCAAAGTATTATCCATCTTGATACATGCTGTGTTAGCTTATCTGTTTCATCTATTGTATGTGCCAGAATTTGTCTCTTCCTTTGTTAAGAGTGTATGGGTTGGGTCTTAATCCTTGGTATTGTGAATAATGCTAAACAAATGTTTCTGGTGGCATCTCTTGTTCACATGGGAGAATTTCTCTAGGACCTGTTTTTCAAAATTAGATTAAATCTGCCTCTGAGCTGTCTTTGCCCCCTGGGAATGATTCGCTTTAGGCCATTTGACTAGATGCCTCTGGACCAGTGGTTCTCAAAGTGGGGTTCCTGGGCCAGCAGCGTTAACATTACCTGGGAGCTTGTTAGAAGGAAATTCTCAAACTGCTCTCCACATTGAGTCACAAGCCCTCCAGGGAATTCCAGCACAATCCACAGTTTGAGAACCACTGGGATGGACTCTGAACTACTTGGGGATAGGAACCCTATTTCTCTCTCCCCCAGTAACTAGCACAGTGCCTGGTCTCCAGCAGACACCAACTGGTATTTGTTGGGCGGATGGTGGATAAATGAGTGAACGTGAGGTTATTCATCTGTCAGAACCTATCCCTTTATGTCCTTCACACCGTTTCTGCTTCTGCTGGGATTCGGGTGCTTCCCAGAACAGTGCCAGGGGCTGCAGGCATGCCAGGTGGCAGCAAATGGGACCTTCTCTGGAGACCTGTGCCCCACCTAGGGCAGTTACCTCTGGGTGCAGTACCAGTGTCGGGAAAGTGAGTCCCCAGCTTGCCTTGGCGTGGGAATTCCCTTCTTATTTTCACAACAGGCTCATCAGAGAGAGCAGCTACCCTGGGGAAAGATAAGTCAGTGAATGTTGGGATTCCCAGGGGCCATCCAGGAGAGCAGGTCAGTGGGTATAGGAAAAAGGAGGACCACATGGAGGAGAGAGTACAGAAATGGGAGGGTGGCATGGAAGACATGTTCTACCAGGGACAGTAATCTGCTGAACACGCTTGGGTAGAAAAACAGTGAGCAAACAGTGTGTACTAAGAGGAACTGACAAGCCAGAAATGTGTGTATGTGTATATATATATATACATATATATATGTATATATATATATATAATCTCCAAGTCACTAGCTTATTCTTTTAATAACTGCATAATATCCCAGTATAAGATTATGTCAAAATGTATTTAATCAGTTCCCCTGCCTGTTGATAAACATTTAAGTTCCTTCGGTCTTTTGTTGTTACATATCACTCTGCAGTGCTTTCTTGTACATTCTTGTGCATATATCTTGACATGTACCTGAGATTATTTTTAAAGGAGCGATCCCTAGTAGTGGAAATACTGGGTCACAGGGTCTGCATTTTATTTTATTTTAAATTTACCTTTCTCGTTAAAAGTATTACAGAAGACCCCCCTTACATCCCCCAGTGACCCCCTCTACCTGACTTCTACCCCCTCCCCAGGCCTTCACCGCACTATTGTCTGTGTCCATCGGGAGTCTGTGCACTTTAAATGTTAATAGATACTGCCCAATTACCCTTCAAAATTGCTGTATCGATTTATATTTCCACTAACAGTGCATGAGGGCACCAGTGTCTCCTACGGCTGTGAAACCACATTATGCCATTTTCCAACACATTAATCGGTCAGAACAGCTACTCCTATTGAGGGTGTGTGTAATGATGCAAGGAGCTCTGGAGGGGAAAGATAAGTCAGTGAATGTTGGGATTCCCAGGGGCCATCCAGGAGAGCAGGGTCAGTGGGTATAGGAAAAAGGAGGACCACATGGAGGAGAGAGTACAGAAATGGGAGGGTGGCATGGAAGACACGTTCTACCAGGGACAGTAATCTGCTGAACACGCTTGGGTAGAAAAACAGTGAGCAAGGTGTCACAATTCTATTTTCAGGGAAGAGGAGGCCACATGTTTTGGCAACACGCTCCATTTGGTGGTTTTGCTAATGGACAGAATGCCCTTTGATCTGCCAGGCCCGGTGCTGCTGTCATTGGACAAAGTGTAGCTCAGAGCAAGGGGCAAGCTGGATTTAGCAACTACATGGTCCAGATTTTCTGCCCCAACTTTGTTTCAAATATCCTGTGCCCTTGTGAATCAGTGTGTTCTGATCACAGTCAGGTTCTGATTTGTGAAAGGGGGGACTTTATCCAGACGTCCCACCCCGACTGTGCCCAGAAGGGCCTGGTTGCATGTGACTTTCCTCAGGTAGCTGAGAATCTGACCTCCTGAAAGTCCTTTTTATTTGCAGTCAGCCTCTTTCCTCTTCCCATTTGTGCTCAGAAACAAAGATTACGCTGCACAAATTAGCCCAGAGCTGTGTGAAGACCCAGCAAATTCTGTCCTTCACCCCATCCTCCATGCCAACTTTTGAAGCTCAAGGTTTTGTAAAATTTAATGTGCATTAAATGGCTTACAATGAATCATCGGCCACCTTAGCCACGTAGATTTTCTTAACGGTGCTTAGCCTTTTGTCTTTTTAAACATTATAAAATGCATTTGGACAATCAATAGAATCCTGGCAAATAAATTATGGTACATTGTGTAGTTATTAAAAAGAACAGGGCAGCTCTAACTGAATTTATATAGAACAATCTCCAAGATATACTAAGTGAAAAAAGTGGAAGGTGTCAATTAATGAATATAGTATGCACCATTTGTATAAATAGAAAAGTACGTATGGGTTGTGGATATCTCTAGAAGGTGAAACGGGATATTGATAACAGTGGTTGCCTCTGGAAAGCAGAATGGGGGGGGGCTGAGGTTTGGCAGTGGGAGGGGGTTGTACATTTCAAATTATTGGTCATATATTACCTATGAACAAAAAATAAAATTCAAAAGAACTTTAAAAAGTAAAACTAAAATTTTGAAAACTTTAAAAGTCCCACCTAAAGATGCAGGACAGGTGGATAGAAGGGAGTCAGTTTTTAACATGCATTTTTCACGGCCCTCTGTGTTTTCACCTGCAGGCCTGCAGCTGACGGTGTCCAATGAGAGTTTCGTCTTCGATAACGTCACCATCTCCCTGATGTGGCTCCTCTCTCCCTACACTGGAAACCTGTCCCTGTATCATTATCATGGGGGATGGCCACACTTTTGATCCCAACTACATCCCCCCCCCCCTTCCTGCCCCAAGAGGAATCTCTGAGCCTTGATTCAGGACATTATCAAGTCAATTTTTGCTGCATAACCAAACATCCCAAAACTTATAATAGTATTTATTATTTGGCATGTGTCCAGTGGTCAGCTTATCATCAGCGAGGAGCATGTGTTGCTCATCACCCAATAGGCCAGCTCAGGCTCACTCGAGTGGTGGCAGAAGGGTTTCTAGCAGCAAGTGAGAGCAAGGCCCAATGTGCAGGCATATTTCAAATCTACTTGGGTCACATTTTTTAATGACCCGTTGGCCAAAGCGAGTTTCATGGCCACGCCCAGATTCAACAGGTAGAGAAACAGACTATGCCTGTTGATGGAAGAAACGGCAGAGCCATAGCACAAAGGGGCACGCATATGGGAATGGGAGAAATGGATGCTCACCTGTTTCTCATTATGGAAGCCACACAAACGGGCATGGAGAGCTGGTCCTTTGGGCTTGGCGCTGTGTAGAGTCTCTCCAGGGTCACTGTCTGAGGAGTCGGTAATGGGGTGAAGAAGATGCTCACCTGAGAGTGCTTTTCATTGGTAAGGATTATAAAAGTAATAGTAACAATATTCATAATAGTCCAGCCAGGCAGCTTCACACATAATCTCACTAGAGCTGTGCTGTCTAATGTAACAGCCACTCACCATGTGAGCTACTGAGCACGTGACATGTGGCTGTTCTCAGTTAAGATGGGCTGTACATGTAAAGTACACATGGGATTTTCAAGACTGAGTTCCCCCACCTGCCCAAAATGAATGTAAATATCTCACTAACAATTTTTTTCTCACTAATCATTTTTATATTGATTACACATTGAAATGATAGTACTTTGGATGTATTGGGTTAAAGAAAATAAATTAAAATTAACTTCACCTGTTTCTTACTTTTTTCAGTGTGGCTATTAAAAAATTTAAAATTACACATGTGGCTCCTACTATTTGTATTAGATGGTGCTGAGCTAGATAACATTTATCTTGTTTTCACAAAGGTACAGTGGTGTTGCCCAAGCCACACAACGCTGTGATGCAGTCAGGACTGTCTAGCCTTGAAGGGAGCTCAGGCTCTGAGGTCCCTGGTGGATTATACAGCGCATTGTATCTGGGCCTGAGAGCACTGCCCCCGCCAACTCCCCTCCCCCCCCCCCACACACACATCCTCCAGGAAACAGTTACCTCCCCAACCTGAGAGTAGCTAAACCCAACTCATAGTATTTCAAAGTCCTACATGGGCCTGGGTAAGCTCTGATGGCCCAGCAGGAGGGTGCCCCAGACTGTTTCAGAAAATCTAGGTCCTCTTTGGATTCTGAGGCTCCTTATAGGGACCCCCAGTTCAACATGGATTCCCTGGGAAAGCACAGAGGCCCAAAAGACTCTCTTTGAATCCCCAGATACCTCCAGTTCTTCCTTGTGCGAGCTAGAGGTTCTGGCCCTGTGGGTGCCAGCATTCCCACAGCACTGGTTGCAAATAGGGGGTCAGCCCTGTACACAGCCCAAAGCTGCTCCAGTGAGTGCAGGTCTCAAATTCAGCAGTGCTTTGAGATCTCAGGCATTGTGCCAAACACACTGTGTCTGAGGCTGGGGTTCTAATCCCAGGCACTGCTAATGTGTCAGACCCAGAAACAATCCCTGGCCTTGGGTTTCTGTTTCCTTCACTGTCATATATATATATATACACTAGAGGCCAAGTGCATAAAATTCATGCATAGGTAGGGTCCCTAGGCCTGGCTGGTGATCAGGGCCAATCGGGGCCTTCTGGCTGCTGGCTGAGTCAAGGCCTTTCTTCCCCAGCTGCTGGCTGCCAGCTGGGGCCTTCCTTCATTCCATGCCACCCCCTGATGGTCAGCGCACATCATAGTGAATGATTGAACTCCCTAGGGGACACTTTGCATATTAGCCTTTTATATATATAGATGTCTATATATATAAAAAGCCAGTGACTGGAACACCGAAACAACCAGAATGACTAGAACAACTGGTCACTATGACGCCTACTGTGGCTGGCCAACCTCCTGCAGCCCCTCTCCCTGGTTGGCCCTCTCCCCGATCGGCTCCACCCACCCCAATCGGGGGTGTGGCCAGCCAGCCAACATCCTGCAGCCCCTCTCCCACCCCTCCTGCCCGCCAGCCCGGCCCCCATCAGGCCAGCTGGACCCCCCCAACCGTGCAGGAATTCGTGCACCGGGCCTCTAGTGTATATATATGACAGAAAAAGGAACAAATCAAGATAACAATAAAAATGGGTGGTAAAGAACACAGGTTGTAAAACCAGAAAAATCTGAATTTGAATTCCTGCTTCATTGCATACCCACTGTACAACCGTCCACTCACACTCGCTCTTACAATACCTATTTCCAAACCCATATAAAAATGTTTGCGCTATCCACAAGATAAATAAGGGTGCATGAAGTTAAATAGCTCCAAATCCCATAGTAATATTACAGCCAGGAGGGGGATTAGATTGGTATTACTATAAAGTCTATGCTCTTTCCATTACTCTAAAGCAGCCGTGGGCAAACTACGGCCTGCAGGCCGGATCCGCCCGTTTGAAATGAATAAAACTAAAAAAAAAAAAAAAGACTGTACCCTTTCATGTAATGATGTTTACTTTGAATTTACATTAGTTCACATAAACACTCCATCCATGCTTTTGTTCCGGCCCTCCGGTCCAGTTTAAGAACCCATTGTGGCCCTCAAGTCAAAAAGTTGGCCCACCCCTGCTCTAAAGCTACAATGAATAAAGCAGCAAAAAAGGAAATGTTTACATGAAAAATACACAAATCTAAGTGGACCCTACAGATCACCTGGACACTATTCAAAGTGTCCAGGTATTTACCTTTTGTTTCACTCTCTAAACATTTATTGGACAACTACTATAATCTAAACATTGTGTCCAATAGTAACAGGTGACTGTCTATGATGGCATCCCAGGACTGTCTGGCCTTGAACGGAGCTCAGCTACATGAAAGAAAGGAAGGAATCCAGGAACAGTTTTGTTTTAAGGGTGGTCACAGAAATAGTACCTAAAAAGGAATGCCCACTCTGAGATTAGAGGTGATGGCACTGGAAATGAAGACTTCAATAAAGAAAGGTTGTGCCACATTTATATTGATGGCTGCCTTGATTGGAGTAAAATGAGAAATTACACGTGCAGATGCTTAGGGAAATAATGTTTAAATAATACAAATATCATGGTATTTTCTGTAGGTTTCTTTCCATGTGCTCCTATTTCATCAATAAAACAACAAATCCTAAGTTACATAATCCTAACCGCCACATTTTATGGAACTTGAATTTGGCGTAAGTCAAAATGCACTGTCTGTAGCCCTGCTAAGTCTTTCCGTTACATAAGGACCTCCTAGCAATAAACAAACAGTAGTTAAAAACTGGCGCAAATGGGACAAAATGCAAATATCTGTCAACTCCGGATGGTGAGTCCAAGGGTGTTTGTCATACTACTCTCTGAATTCTGCATGTGATTAAATTTTTTCATAATCTAAGTCAAACAACAATAAGTGATGCTTTACATTTGCAATTCCTTGGGCATTAGCTCTAAGTGAAAGTGACTGTCATTTTTTTTCTCTTTCAAAAGAAATAGATGGTGATATCCTCTGCCAACACCCCACCTGAATACTCAAATTTCCTCTTGAAACTACTCACCCACCTTCTTCTATTATTTTTATTAAGATTGGGAAATATATTTCTGGTGCTTTCTAATCAGTCTTAGCAGTCTCAGAACTCAATTTACAATGAAAAATAGCATGAATTTTAAGTCAAATATTTTTGTGCAGACGTGACTGTGTTTTTCTTTTATTGTGTTCGTACAGACTCCTACTTCTGCTTAAAAACGGAGGCTCCATTTCCATCGAAGAGAAATAACATGAGCTAATGGGGAGAATCCAGCCTCCATTAGGAAAGGCATAATGAAAGTCAAACAATTTCTCCTTGAGAAGTTCCTTCTCGCCTTGCACTCCCCATCTCTTGTGCACATTTGTATGGCAGGCTGTTTTGTTTCTCTGTTATGGAAAACTTTCTACATTTCTGAAATTATGTTTCTTATGGAACAATTTGCATAAGGTGAAATTTGTCCAAGTCTAGCATTAGGTAACTTAGCGCCACCTACTGACAGATCTAGGGGTTGCTGTTATTCTTAGTCTATTGAGAGCCACACAGCCAAGTCTGGAGGGGGGTGTCCCTGGAAATAGATCATTCACAAGCCAGGATAAGCTTTAGAGTGACTGAGATGTACACAGGCCGTTGGGAGGCGCAGAAGAGAGAACTCTGTGAAAGCCAGGTCAGAAAGGACTGTAGAGCCGAAGTCCTTGGTGGGGGACCAGAAATAGGAGGCAGGAGCAGAGAATGTAGAGCAAGGGAAGTCATGGATTTGGAGGGTAACTGTGAGCACCTCACTATACTGGGAGTTCAGGGGTATGTGGGGAAAATGAAAGACGGAAAATGCAAAAGGGTCTGGTGATGAAGAGCCTTGATACCTGCCAGTATAAAGACATTGTTTTAGGAGCGTGTGCAGGTTAAGCACCAGGACACAGGCTCTGATTTGGGGTGCAGGTTTCCTGGGGGATACTAAGATGGGGCAGGGGGAGATGCAGTAGCAGCATAAGCCCCACTGACAACTGCGCAGCCACTGGATTCAGGATGTCCCTGGGGAGGGGATGTCACCTGGGGACAGGCGGCTCCCTTTGGCTAAGAATTCCTGCAGGTGGTTCAGCTGTGAGCCTTCAGCCGCTATCACGCCAGGATGCTGGGCAGGAGTGGTGGGGTGCAGGCCTCGGTCTTGAAGGGTGGAATCTGGGTGACACGCCACCACATCCACTACAAAGGATACACAGGAATCTAGGCCATGGAGTTACAAGCTCTGTGATTATTAGTACTGCCAGTGTCAACTAATACTCACTGGGTAACTTTAAGGAGTAAATGGGACTATAGAGAATAACTGCTAGAGTTGATTCTAAAAATTAGGTAATTGTTATTATTATATTAATATTACATGAAAGTATATATTAATTTTATTTAATAGGCTAAGTGCATAAATGTCATCCTATTATACAAAAAGCTACAATATATGAGACTGTTACATGCCAGATACTTATTCAGCCATGGCCTCATTTGAACTTTACAGCCCAGCCAGGAATAGCTCTCACCTCATTTTATGGACAAGGGCACTGAGGCTCAGAGAGGTTAATTGAGTCATTAGGTTTTACAGGTAACCTTAGGAGCCCTAGGAGATCTCATTTCCAGTTTCCTACCCTTTCCATTCCGTCACACTGCCTGCTTTGGTCAGATGGCCTCATCCACCAAGCTGGCTGGCAACCTGTGAGCAACATAAATAAAATAACAGATTATGGTGTTCTTAACAATTGGAAATTATAAGCAAAGATAAAAAATGTGAGCTTTCTTCTCCACTTTCTTTTTAAGCTGCATCCCATCAACATCAACCATCAAAGCAGTATATACAAATCAGTGGATGTCAGAGTCTTGAACCAATTTTTAAACACTTTTATTTAAGCATAATACATGTACAGGAAAGTGCCCCAAAGATATGGAACAATTAATTTTTACACAAGGAACCAGCACCTAGATCAAGAAACAAAACATGACCAGTCTCCCAGAAATCCACCCCCCTGCCCATACCCTCCAAGGATTTTAACATCATCAAATAGTGTGACCTATATTTGAAACTTATATAAATGGAATCTGATAAAGGACTGCATATTCTCTTTTGTGTCTGACTTCAGTTCAGTAGTGTGTTTTTGAGATTCATCCTTACTGTTGTGTATAATTAGGATTTCTTTTTTATTATTGCTGTATAGCATCTCATTGTGTGAATATATCTCAATTTACCTATCCATTTTAGCCCTGGTAGGCATTTTGAGTGATTTCCCACTTAGAGTATTATAAATTGTGCAGCCATGAACATTTTAGTGCTTGTCTTTGGTGCATATAATACACATTTCTGTTGGGTTTATACCTAAGAGTGGAATTGCACAAATCCATAGGATTATAACACAAATTTTTGAGTTGTTGTCTCCCTCTCTTTGTATTCCAAGCATATCTTCCATATGCTGGCAGCAGTTTCTAAAACCACTTTGTAGGGTTCTCCTTTAGTGAGATCAGTGGGAGAGAAATCAGAAAAAAAAAATCAATTTCTCTGCTTTTTAGTGCTGGACAGTTTCAGTTGGTACCAGAGTTTAAAAAACTTAACAAATTGCTTTTTCCAGACAGATCACCGAAAAACTGGCTGGAGTTTGCTATTCAAAACCATCCTTCATATATCCACAAAGAGTTAGCATTTTCTTGTTCTAAAATCTACATTATCTGATATTAACAATGGTCACTGAAGCATTCTTCTGATTAGTGTCAGCTGGTAGATCTTTCTTCCACCCTTTTATTTTATTTAACCTATCTATATCATTATATTTATAGTGGGTTCTTGTAGACAGTATATGGCTGAATCTTGGTTTTTTAATATCCCATATGGAATGTTAAGAGCATTTACAATTAATGTAATTATTGATTTAGTTGAATTTAGATCTATTATTTTGGTATTTGTTTTGTTTTCCCCTGTTTAATCCCCGCCCCTGGTTCCTCTCCTTTCTTGACTTCTTTTTGATTACTCAATATTTTTAGTATTCCATTTTAACTTAACTACTGGTTGTGTGTTTTTGTTTTGTTTTCTGTTGTATCTCTTTGTATTACTTTTTTTAGTAGACACTTTGGGAATTTCTGGATGCATGTCTAACCTTTTACAGTCTACTTAGAGTTACTATTATACTGCTTCAAGTAAAATGTTGAAGCCTTATTAGCATATAGGTCCATTTGCCTGCCTAAGTTTAAATTATAATTGTCATATGTAGGATATCTACATATATTGAAACCCCTTTCAACAATCATACATATTTTAAAGAACTTAGGAGGACAAAAGTCTATGCAGTTACCAAGATGGCCATTCCTTGTGCTCTCCCTTCATTCCTGAAGTCCCAAATTTCCTGGTATAATTTCCCTTCAACTGGAAAAACTTTTTGTTGTTGTTAATCCTCGCCTGAAGATATTTTTCCTTCACCATTTCTTTTTTTTTATAAATATATTTTATTGATTTTTCACAGAGAGGAAAGGAGAAGGACAGAGAGTTAGAAACATTGATGAGAGAAAAACATCGATCAGCTGCCTCCCGCACACACCCCACTGGGGATATGCCCGCAACCAAGGCACATACCCCTGACCGGAATCGAACCTGGGACCCTTCAGTCCGCAGGCCAATGCTCTATCCACTGAGCCAAACAGGTTAGGGCTTCATCATTTCTTTTAAGTCAATTTCCTAGCAACAAATTCTTAGAGAGTTTCTTTACTGCTGAGAATATCTTTATTTTGCTTTAATTCCTAGAAGATATTTTTACTGGATATAGAATTATGTATTGACAATTCTTTTCTTTCAACACTCTAAAGATATTGTTCACTGTCTTCTGACCTCCGTGGTTTCTGAGGAGAAATCTATAGTCATTTAAATCATCAGTTTCTCCATATGTAATGAGTCATTTTGTTCAGGCTGATTTTAAGATTTTTTATTTTAAGCAGTTTGGTTATTATGTGTGTGGGTAAAGAGGAAGGGAGAGGGAGAGATAGAAACATCAATGAGGAGAATCATTGATTGGCTGCCTCCTGCACGTCCCCTACTAGGGATCAAGCCCGCAACCCTAGCAGGTGCTCTTGACTGGAATCGAACCTGGGACCCTTCAGTGCACAGGCTGATGCTCTATCCACTGAGCCAAACCACCTCAGGCTGGATATGGTTTAATGTGCTTTGTTTTGTTTTTCCCTTTTAGGGATTCACAGTGCTTCTTGAATCTCTATGTGTTTTGCCACATTTGGGAAGTTTTCAGTTATTATTTCTTCAAATACATTTTTTCTATACCAATCTCCCTTCCCAGTGGTGCTCAAATGACACATGGTTTCCATTTTTATATTATTACACAGATTACTGATGCTCTGTTCATTTTTAAATTTTAATATTTTTCCTCTCTGTTCTTCAGATTGGATTTCTCTTGCTCTATCATCAGGTTCACAGACTTTTTCCTCTGTGGTCTCTATTCTGCTATGAATTTTTTAATGGGGATTTAGATGTCTGCATCATCCCATATGGTCTGTGTAGCTTCAAGAGAGCAGAGCCTGGTGCAGGGCCAGCAGAAGAAAATGAAAAAAAAACAGCACAAAACAAAAACGGGTATTTCCTCTGTATTCTCAGGCTCACTGACTGGATCCCTTTTCTTGGTTCTCTGGCTAAACAGAGGGGATTTCTTTTGGGGTTTTTGTTTTATTCACTCACTGTGCAGTTCCATGACTCGGGCTACTACTCTGGGGACAAAGCCAACAGATAAAGGAGATTTTTTAAAAAGACACAAAACAGGAAACTCCCTTCTTCATGGGAGAAACGCCAATCTGCCTGCTATTTCTATTTGTTTTTTTACTTTTGAGTCCTCAGGTAGTTTCTTTTTTAGTTCTGTCCAGGTATTTAGTTGTGATCAGTGGAGGAAATAGGCTATGGTGGGCTTACTCCATTTTGACTGGCACCAAGAATCAGGTTATGTTACCGTTTTCTAAGCTTTTTCACAAATATGCTCATTTGTCAATGATTTCTCAAGCAGTATGAGCTAGGCTCTGTGCTAGGTGCCAGGTATATAAGAGAGAGCTAGACAGACACTGTGCTAACAGCCTAGCAAGGAAGAATGACAGTGAATAAGCAAGCACACAAGGCATGAGTACTTAGGAGAAGCAGCAAAACTACAGCCGGAAAGGGAACCTAAGGAAGGCCTCCCTGAGGAAGTGATGTTTAAGCTGAGAACCAACAGAGGGGTGTGAGCCAAGACCAGTGCACTTTCAGGCCTTGAGAAGAGCAAGAGGTGGCATGTTCTAGAAACTGAAAAGGAGGTCTCTGTGAACATATACTAGGTAGTTAGAGGAGTGTGACAGAAGATGGGGAGAAGGTCAGGAGAGGAGGTCATGTGCATCTTTGCAGATGATCTTCAAGATTTTTAATTTAGTCCCCTTGGGAAAATGAGAAGCAAAACAAACCCATCATTTTGATATGTTTAGAATCTGACCCCATTTCACAGATGGGGGAAAGAAGGCTCAGAAAGGTAGGCTAGGGCATAGTATTTTACAGATGAAGCAAGAAGACCCAGAAGGGAGATTTATGTGAGCCACAGAAGGAACAAATGGTAGAAAACTGACTTGTAGCCAAATATTCAACTCCCTGGTTGGTCAGTGCTATTTCTTCCACTCTCACTTGCTCCAGGACGTCTCACTGTCACCTTTGCAAGCACCGAGAGCTTGGTTGTGTAGCATTTTTTCTTCACCTGTTTATCTTTGCAGTGCAGAAAAGGTGCGGGGTGGGTGACTGCAGCTGTGCACGCATGTGTGAATGCATGTGTTTGCATATTCCAACACTGGTAACATTTCTGTTTCCGGCAGTTTGTCCAGCAAAGTGATCCATCAATTCACATCTCCTGGGGAATTCACTGTGTTTGCTGAGTGCACAACTAGTGAGTGACATGTGACGGCTCAGAAGCAAGTGACAATCTGAGACAAGATGAAGAGACTCAGTGTGACTGGGTGCTCTGGCCTGTCCAAATTAGAAGCCAGCCCTCTCTGCCGGGTTGTCTTCGGGGACCCTATGTGGATTCAGGTGGAGCTCAATGGAGGTGAGTCTACAGAAATGGTCAAGGTCAAGGTCAAGGTCAAGGCAACCTTGATATCCCCCAAATTTATCCATCCAACTCCCAGGCTTTAATAAATACTAACAGCAATTGCTTATCAGTTATTTAATTATTCATTTGTTTAGCACCTCATGTGTGCCAAGAACTGATCTAAGTGTTTTACATATACTGGCCCACCCAGTATACTATTATTATCTCTATTTTACAGATGAAGAAATGGAGGAAAGGTTCAGAATCAAAGGTTCAAAGTCTCAGGCTATTAAGCTAGTGAGAGCTTCCAGCTTTCCAAAGGTTCTTCTTTGTATGCCCATAGTCCTATCTCAAGAATTTAACTTATAAGACACTCTTTGTTGGGGATATTTAAATGGGACTCGGAGTGCTATCAACTGGGCCTGAGCCCATCTCAATGCAGCCGGCATTGACCAATTTGGTCCAATTATGTTGTCCCAAGTAAGGGCTCATATTCGGCTGCACATACTGCTACAGCCATAGCAGCTGTTGTGACTGGCGTCCATTCTCATTGGGCACAGTTTCTTTTCTGATTGGTCACAAAGGCCATTCTAATCATGTCCATTCTGATTAATCAAAGTGTCCATTCTGATTGGTCATAGCAACGTTTCTCATTGGTCACAATGTCCATTCTGATTGGTCACAGCATCCATTCTGACTGGTCACAGTGATCGTTGTGATGGTAACAGCATCTAATTTATTCTAATTGCTCTCAG